TAACCACTAAGAAGAATATATGCAGTGTATTATTTGTTGAAACTGTACTTCCGATTTGATTTGAAACTGTCTCATTGCTATATGTTTATCAATAAAACTGTAGAAAAAAAAAAAGATATATATTGGGGGGCAGGCATTATAAGAAGCAATTTGTATCATGTTAATTTTAGTAAAAATCCAAGGTCATAGTGAGAGGCAATTCTGTTTGACTCCAAAGACTGAAATCCTCCTCCACAGCTACTAAAAAATGTTGTGCCCTTTATTATTTAAAAATACTTAATATTGTTAAGGAGAACTCCAAATACACCACAGCACAAAATGTATAATTTTACAAAATCTTAAAGGTTGGGAATATAGTTCAGTGGCATAAGCACCTGCTTGGCAGGTACAAGATCCCATAATTTGATCCCCGGTATCACCAGAAAGAAAGAGAGAAAGAAAGAAAGAAAGACAGACAGACAGACAGACCGACCAAACGAACCAACCCAAATCCAAACCCAAACCAAAACAAAAAACAAAAAACAAAAAAAGACCCTTAAAGGTATCTGCAGAAATCTCAACAGCAGCTAGTAAATTTTTTAAAAGTTCTTTTCTTTGTATTGCATTGTTATACTTTTAACCCATATGAGATAAGAGGTGAATTTTCAACTACTTCTAATTTGCCAGGAAATCAACTGTTTTATTTTTCCTCTCAAAATGCTTAATTTTCACAGAACCATACATTTCTCTTAGCTTAACTGCTAATGTCAAAAAAATATTTTGAAATACAATACAAAAAACCAGGCATATGGCTCTAATTACAGTTACATTGAAGGCTGAAGCAAGAGGATCATTAAGATTGAGACCAGCCTGGACAAGTTAATAAGACCCTATCTAAAAATCTGAAAACAGGGGCTGGGAGAGATGGCTCAGTGGAATAAGCGCTTGTCTGGCAAGTGCAAGGGCCTGAGTTCAATCCCCGGTTCTGCCAAAAAAAAAAATAAATAAAAAATAAATAAATAAATAAAAATCTGAAAACAATACCAACAGAAAGGGACAGAGATGTAGCGTAGGGCAAAGGCTCTGGGTTCAATACCCAGACAACCACCACCACCAGAAAAAAGTCCAAATATAGTCACTGTTATTTAATGAACATAAAGTCAATTAACCAGCATTCTACTTCATCTTAACTGAAAATTTTTGGGGCTGGAGAGATAGATAGTTCAGCGGCATAAGCACATGCCTGGTAAGTGCAAGGTCCTGAGTTCAATCCCTGGTACCAAAGGGGAAAAAAGAAAGAAAAAAAGAAAGAAAGAAAGAAAGAAAGAAAGAAAGAAAGAAAACTTTTTATTAGAGATTTAGAACAGCGTTCCAGCTGGGCTTGGTGGTGTACACCTGTAATCTCAGCACTACAGGAGATGGAGGAGAGGATCACAAGTCTGAGTCTAACCTGGGCAATTTAGCAATTTAGTGAGATCCTGTCTCAAATAAGAAATAAAAAAAATAGGCTGGAGATGGATAGCTCAATGTGAAGGCGTGGGGTTTAATCTCCAGTATCAGGAGAAAATATAACAACAGCATTCTATGCTGGTGATTCCGACCACTATGTAAGATCAACTGGGATTTGCTATATGCTTGGGTTGAAAACATCCAATCTGTCATGGAAGAAATGCCTAGATGTTTCCAAGATTACAATTTTAGTTCAATGACAAGAAAGATACAGTCAAAACACCTTTTACCTGGACTTTGTTATCTTCAACTCGCAAAATAATCTGCCGTGTAGCAGTAGAGCCAATTATTTGCCTGTAAGAGGCTTATTATATATTTAACCATAAAAATATTTCTTATTCATTTATTTGGTATAGGGTCAGCCGGCACAGCATGCAGTACTGGAGACCAAACAAGGGTCTTTGTATTTGCTAGCCAGGCGCTTAGACTGCCAAGCTATCTCACCAGCAGCCCATAATTTTGACTATATAGATAAAATGATCAGTAATTATAATCCTAGGTTTAATTTTGTTTTGGAAGTTTTTTTAGCTCTTGGTTAGATTAACAGGTGTCATTTTGATAGAATCACACAGACATAACATACTTTGATCTTTTTCACTTCCTACAAGATTTATTTTTAATCAAAGGTTATCTTGCAGCTGAATAATGAGAACATCTAGAATAGTCAAGCCACCTCTGAAATTAACCACTCAACTAGGACCATAGAATCACAAAGGTAGTATGGTTGATGTGAATGAGGGGGTTAATAGAGGAAGCATTAAAAGCAAAAGAAAAGTATGTGAGTCTTATAGTCTACATGACACAAAAAGCCCAGAGTATATCCTGAGTATATAACCTCTTTATGTAAAAAATAAAAAGCTCATGCTATTTTTAACATATGCTTGCTGTTTTTCTTACCTGACTCTAAGCCAAGTCTTTTCAGATCCTCTTGGTATGCTTTTAAGGCAGCTGCTTCCATTGCAGCAAATTCCTTTGATGCTTTTTCTTCTTCTTTTGCTTTATCCAGGCTTTTCTGCTTAATCTATGTAGGACATACATAAAAGTAAAGGTGAAATAAAGTACAGACATCTATACAAAAAAAATTAGCAAAAACTAGTCTATTATTACCTCACTGATCCTCTTTGCCACATTTTCCTTATGATTCTTTCCCCTTTCATGAAATTCAACACTCTTAAAAGTGAAAAAAAGGGAAAATACAAAGGAAAGTTACATAAACAATAAAATCCACAGTAAATACAATATATGACTAGAACATAAGAGAACTGAAATTAAAATAATTTCAGAAAATATAAAACTGATTGGTTTTAATGCAAATTGGTCTCTTTTACCAAATGATGCTAGGGAACCTGAACCTCATTTATTACACGCTCTGACTAGATTTCACTTTGGTTCTTAAAATAAAACAGGATGCCCATATTAATGGAAGAAAGATACAAGGTACTCTTAATAACCAATCTACTGAATATAATTTTAATAAGGATTTAAACATGAAGCCAAAGGTAGAAAATTTTTTTATTATTTTTTAAAATTAATTTTGGTAGAAAAATTTTGAAACATTCAACATCCAATGTCAAAACCAGTAAATCTCCAAAATTTTATCACTCTATTTGTTAAATTAAAGACATAGAGAACAATGATCTTTAAAGTCTTACTCCTCAAAACCTTAAGACACTTAAAATTCATAAACAATTAAAAAGTAAACACTTTTATACATAGTAATAATGCTACAAAACACACAACTTCTATGATGGACACTTTGGGAGTATCTTTAAAAATTACAAATATATTACCCTTTAATCCAACAATCCTATTTCTGGGAATTTATTCCACAGATATGCATGTACATGTACAAAATATCACATATAGGGTTATTCACTGTAATACTACTTGTGTTAACAATCCAAGTGTACACCTAGGGAACTGGTTAAATAAAATTGGTACATTCATATAGATTGCTAAAACAAAAAGTAAGTTTCCTGTGTATTGATATAGAAAAGCATATAGTATAATTTTTAGAAACTATGGTGTTGGAAAGTACGTACATATGTTACCTTTTGTGCAGGATGGAATAAAAATCTCTATATTCATATATAAACAAAAGATAAACAAAAAAAGTAAAAAAAATAGTAACCCATGTGGGGTGGGGTACCTGGGACAGATGGGGACAAGGATGGGTGACATTACTATTTATTAAACCAGAAATTCTCCTTACATTACAAGTGAATGGCTGTAAGTGAAATCTAGTCAGAAGGTATAATAAATAAGGTTCAATTCCCTTGCATATTTGATAAAAGGGTCCAGTTTTTATTAATCAGTTTTTCTTTTCTGCAAATCATTTTAATTTACACAAAGATGTTCAATTATGTCTAAAGTAGGAAACACACACACTATAAGTCTTTTTACACTTTTAAGGGCTTTTTCAATTTTACTCTTCTTTGTACAATACGGTATATGACAGTTCACGAACACCACCATTAGACTGTAGGGTAGTTGTTTCACAAACACAGGGATGAATTTATTTACTCACTAGGCCATATCTAGAAAGGCCATAGAAGTAATTTGGCTTCATAATCAAATACAGTCTTCATGAAAAGGTTCACGCTTTCTTAAAGCAAATGATACAACAGAAATCTTTTGATGCTTTGTGTAATCAAGAGCAGTGTATATGAAAGTGCTCTGTAAACTCTGAACATAGATCAAAAGGCAATAAATCACATAAGCACATTCTGAAAATCTCTGAGAGGGGAAGAAGCATACAGGCCTATTGTCCGCTATCCAGCACTTGCAGTAATCACAGAATTTCTTTGGTTGTGATTTCCAGTAGTCGGCCCTGAAAAAGGCAAAAGAAGTCTAAGCTCTTTCAAAATTAAGGCACAACTGTACACGCTTCAGTTTCATAGACTGTATAAGCCTCTGCTACTGACTGTTGGTAACTAGCAGTATTCTGGGGAAAGACTGTGATCCTCCCTTCAAGTCTGCTAGTTAATATAAACTGTTCTCTCGAGCCAGAGAACAAGAGCTGCAAAGGCCGAAGGGCCTCGCCGACCAAATGAAAGTCCTAACGCTGTCCTCTGAAGCGCATAGGAGTGGCAAAGCTCCATAGCACCCCAAGGCTGAGGCGCCTCCAGAACTGACCCAGACACCACCCTGGACCACGCAGACGGAGAAGGCGCCAACTCCACCCCGCCCTCCACCGCCCGACCCGGCCGCAACCTCCCAGCCTGGCCCGGCGCGGCCCGCACCCAGGGCGCTCCGCGGGGCAGCACTTCCTCCCCGGCCACAGAACCAGCCCAGCAGCTCGGTACCGGACTGCGGCCTGTTACGCTTACCAAACCCGTCACGCCTCGGGCCGAAGGGCGGAGTAAGGGGGTGGAGAGCCCAGGGCTGGGGAGGCCCGGAGAAACAACACTTCGTTGTTCAGACCCACTCACATGACAGCGCCAGCCGCTAAATGCGTAGTCCAGGGCACTCCTCAGCCGCGCGCTCCAAGTGGCGCTGGCCGACACCGCTCAGCCGAACTGTCCTCCTCAGAACTCCTTCGGGCGCTCCCGCCTGTCTCCGACCTAGGGACCCGCGTTCCACGATTCTTCTCTACGGGTGCCCAGCAGACTCAATCCGCGTTTGAAATCACCTCCTCTTCCCCTCCCCCTACAAGGGCGGTGCTCTCCACTTCTGCGGGGTGGGGTCGGTATTAAAGGGGTTGAGGTCACCGAGCAGGGGCAAAAGCCGGACGGGACCTGATCCGAAGAATAGGAACTTTAAGCCCCCGCGCCGGCCCGCTTTTCTTGGTCCTTCCCTGGATCCAGAACCAACACGCGCCTAGGCTCGCTGGCTGGTAGCCAATGAGCTCGCGCACCGCCTCCGCCCAGAACGCAAACAGCTGTTCCCAGTAGACGGCTCCGCCCTCTACTTTGCCAACTAGTCCGCACGTACTTTGACCAACCGAGTAACCCGGACCTGTGGGCTGGGAGCCGTTGTCGGAGTTAAAGAAAGGTGAAATAGCTGGTTCTGGGGCTCTGCGAGTCGCGAGACTTCGCCGTAGAACTTTCTTGCGACGCGGCGCGGCCCTGCCTCTTTCCCACGAAGCCCGCGCACTCCGGCCTGGGCTCCTTCCCGCGGGTGGACAGTGGGGCTGCGGCTCGGCGGCGGAGCGTCGGCGGTGGGAACTGTAGCCGAGGTGGCAGCGTCATCTGCTCTTGTCAGGTGAGCTACGGAAGCGCTTTCTGCAGCACTTCCCATATGGTCTAGCGGTTAGGATTCCTGGTTTTCACCCAGGCGGCCCGGGTTCGACTCCCGGTATGGGAATGATGTACTGTCTTTTGAAGGCGGACTTTATTTTATTTCTAATGGCACAGCCGAACTTCTCCGCAACCCTAGGAGAGTTAGTTTGTGAAAAACTGGCTTAAAGTGGTTTTTGGTGGCGTCTTCGGCTGGGCCACATCTGTGTGAGCTCGGAGCTCCCGCCCGCGAGGGAAGAAGTTTCACTTTCTTCGGGGCTGCTTCCCGGCCCCGCCAGCCGTGGTGCGTAGTTTTCCAGAGGCTCAGGGGGTGATGATTAACTCCGGCGGACCTGATCTCCTCCCTGTCCACTTCGCAGGCCCACACCCAGCTCGGCCACCCCCTTCGGACTCCCGGGGAGGTGCGGCGCGGGTGTGCCCTCCCGGGCATTCCTTGGCCCTTGAGAAGATCGGTTCGCTGGGCGTTTACAAGACTTCTCTGGATTACCCACCCCCCGCGGGGGGTCGCACAGTCTTTCCGTCCTCACCTACCTCTCAATCGCCCCCAGCGGCTGCTTGCACCCGGCTAGCCTGGAGGCGGGCCAGCGAGGCCAGCTAACTTGACACTCACCCTCAAAAAATCCTCCTTCCACCCTTTAAAACAAGCGCAGTGTACAGAGCAGAAAAATACCGCTGGGAAGAGTTGCCTTTAAAGAAAAAAATCGGCTTTCCAAAAAGACTAATGATTTAAAAATCTTGGGGTGGAAGTGAAGCTTGGAACAGAGAAATTGGCCAGAGACTGGGGAAGGGATGTTATAACAAAGTTTCACTGTATTTTTAAATATAGAAGCCCAGTGTTTATCACAAAGAAGGGGCAGCTGTGTCAGCAGCATGTGAGCTGTAAATGAAACAAAAGCGTTATCTTAAATGCAAGTTTAAATTAGAAAATAGAGGCAGCTATAATGTTTAGTCTTCTCAGGCCTCACGAAACAAGGAAAAATGTATTTTTGAGGAAAGGCTGTAGTCAGGGTCATTACTAAGCAGAAGTTTTGGTTGTGCGTTCATATTTTATAGCTTTAAGTGCACAGTAAGTTTGAAAATATTTGTTACTGTAGTCTGCATGATTAAGAATTAGCTCTATGAGCTTTAACAACAAAACAAACAAACAAAAAACCATGAGCAAATTGCCACAATTAAAAGCAATTTAGATCATCTTCATGAATTCACATATTTTAAGTGTTTGCTACATGCCCTGTACCATCAGATACTTCCGAAGTTATTGATAATCAGGTGTGTTTTGTTAGGAGTTGCTAGATAGAATACTGAATGTAATCACATTATGACCTTGTGGTTAGCTGTGTGTGATCTTGTGAAGCTCCCCTTCTCTGTACTTTCGAGCCATAGATTCTTGGTAGTATGTATTAATCATAAACTTTAGGTGGAGGTGTGCTTATTGACCAGTTTTGAATAGGTAATGAAAATGAAAGCGTTTCATTTAAATGAGTAGTGTGTTTTTAAAGACTGCTTACTAAAAGGTTTGAATTTGGAAAGAAATCTATCTCTTCCTTTTCTCAAGAGGGCTTAATTTTTGTAATGACTTCATGTTGTAACAAATGGTGCTGAAATTGATATTATTTTAAAATGAGCACTCAGTGCTTACAATTAGTAATTGGACTGTATATACTTGGGGTGCGGAATGTAGGTAATAACAAGACACAGATGATTTTATTGTAGTTGTGTACCAGGTGGAATATACAGCATCAGAGATACAGAATTGCTCTGCGAGCACAGAGGGAAGGAATAATCCCTGCTATGGAAAGAACACTGGAAACAAGAGCCAAGAACTGAAGGGTGTTTGCCTCAGGCCTTGAAGAACTGGTTGGATTTTTCCTGGTTGGGGAATCTGAATCATGACTGAGGTAGTGGGAGAAGGGACCAGGAGGCTTGCAAGTAGTTTGGTTTGGCAGGAGCATAAAGTGCCTAGAGGCAGAGGCATGGGAGTTCAAGCTGGGAAGATAGAAAGGAATTTTATCCTGGTAACTTTTGACTAGGTAACAGGTTATTTTATCAAGGAGTGACCTTTTTATGTCCCTGGAATTTTAAAAACCACTGTCTGACTATAGATGAACATAGCTGGAGTAGGTGAAAAAAGCTTTTTAAAGATTCAAAAATACAGAAATAAGGAAATTGTTCTTGTTCTGTAAGACTCAATATGTAACTTTGGAACCCCGATACATGGCTAGTAGAATTGTAAAATGGCACAATCACATTGGAAAAGTTTGTCAGTTCTTTAAAATGTTAAACATAGTGGTACCATATGACCCAACATTTCCTCTCCTAGGTATATACCCAGGATAAATGAAAACATATGCCTGCACCAAAACTTGTATACAGATGTTTATAGTAGCAAGCAAAAAGTAGAAACAACCGAAATGTCTGTATGTCCATCAACTGGTGAATGAATAAATAGAATGTGTATGCATACAGGGGGATATTAGTTGTCAATAAAAAGGAATGAAGTACTGATGCATACCACTACATAGATGAGTTTGAAGAACATTATACTGTTGGATATATTGAACCTGTGGCCTGCAGGCCATTTGCCTTTTTGTTTTTGTTTTTGTTTTTTTACTTTTTGTCATTTTGAGACAGGATTTGACTATCCAATTCAGGCTTGCCTTAAACTTGCAGCAATCCTCCTGCCTCCACCTTCCAAGTGCTGGGCTTATAGGCATGTGCCAGGACACCTGGCTACGCCTTTTTTTTTTTTTTTTTTTGTGGAACCGGGGATTGAACTCAGATCCTTACGTTTGCCAGTCAAGTACTTATCCTACTGAGCCATCTCCCCGGCCCCTACGCCTTTTTTATAATGTTCTGGATATACTTTTTATAGGGCCCAAGGTAATTCCTCTTTACTCAGTTCACCTAGACGGGAGCCAAAAGGTTGGGCATACCAGCAAGAACATGAAAGAAGCTAGGCCTCTTCATTTTTCTGGGTGCAGTGATGTATGACTGTAATCTAAGTACTTTTGAGGCTTAGGCATAAGTGTCACAGGGCGCCACCTTAAAATAAGAACATAAGAGCTGGGGATATAGATCAGTGTGAAGACCTGGGTTCAGTTTCCAATACTGAAAAAATATTGTATGGTTACATTGATAGAAAATGTACACAATAGGGAAACATACAGAGAAATAGGATTAGTAGTTGACTTAGATTAGAAAGTGAATGGGAGGGTGCCTGCTAATGGAGGTATAATTAGTGTGATTAAAAGTGATGGTTGTATACCTCCATATAAATATAGTAAAAAAACATTGAATTGTATATACTTTAAATATACTTTATGATATGTCTTAGCAAAACTTAAGGATTGAAGCAACAGAAAGCATTAGAATATTTTATTTATAGATTTTAGAGTTAGCATTTGGTGATTACATACTTCAATGATGGGATAATACTACAGTGATGCTCTCATTTCTAGGTAATTTCAGGAATAAAGCAGGTGCTCAGTTAATAAAAATGGAAGAAATTACAAGTAGTACATGTTACAATTCAGTAAGTGCTCAGAGGAGGCCAAAAAGGGTCAATCTCAAAAATTCACTTTGCATTTGTGTGAGCAGTGGGAAAGGCCACTCCAGGAGACTGCATTTGAGGTGGACTTTGAAGGCTAGTTCAACTTTTGCTAGTTACATGAAAGAAGAATAAGGCATTCAGAGGAAGCAGAGGTGCATTAACAGTTGCCGGCACATTTTGGCTGAGCTGAGAGAACAAGTAAGATAGGAAAGGAAAACAAGACTGCAAAAATAGATAGGGAACCATGTCAGCGCTGTGGCAGATATGTGATGTGTATCCCCCTCCCCAGTCCAAACTCCTATGTCAGCGGTCCACAATCTAGTGTGTTTCCACTGGCTCTTACTTTGGAGAACCTTCACCCTTTAACCTGTGGAGAGCTGGTAGTGCCTGGGGACTTTGGCCCTTACCCCTAATGGACTCTTCTGTCATAAGTATAAAGTAGAGCTCTTGACTTTTTTTTTTTTTCAAAATTTTATTGATAAACAGCAATGAGACAGTTTCAAATCAAATCGGAAGTACAGTTTCAACAAATAATACACTGCATATATTCTTAGTGGTTAATTGCCGTATAAGATGAGGACTTGAGATCCTATTTACAAACACCATTAGAACAAATCATTCTATTCATTAAGAGAATGCAACTATGTATCTATCCTAACCACTTTGAATACACAGATACAAAATGGACATTCATCGGTATACCCCATTTGTTCTAAGTTCCATTATTGAATATTGTAGGTGTGTAAACTCAGCAAAATATTCTAAAAGAGTCCAGTAGCCCATAATAGCATTGGGTCTTCTGTTTAACTGGCAATGTCAGAAATTATTGACCTGAGTCCCCCACAGTTCAACATAACAACATGGCTTTACTTCCTATATTTCGTCTTCATACTTTTCTGCTGGATGGTTAAGACCAAGGTAAAGCAGGACCTGTGCAACAAGAGTTGTAGCTTTTTGGTCTGAGAAGGTCAGTGAAATGCCCTCAGGATTTATGAGCTCTTGACTTTTTATCTTTTATATCATTGGACTTGGAGAACTTATGGCACCTGGTGAACATTCAGGAAATATTTGAATAATTAAATGAATTAAAATTAAGTTTGTCTAAAGCAATTTATTTTACAGATTATCTTGACTCTTGACAAAGACTTTGAAAGGACCTAAAATTTTGGACTAAGAAGTTTTACTTAGCTAGGAAAAGGGATTTCTGGTAAAATGACTGTTCTGGTGAAATTAATTTGGTAATCCAGTGCAGGATGAACTAGTTGTGGAAGACTTATTTCTATAGGTTCCATCGCCACCTTACCATTCTGTTTCTATTTCTGCCCCACCTAGGTTATTCCCTGAGCAACACTGGAGTCTTTTGCAGCATAGTAGTCTCTTAACAGCTCTCCTTACTTTGTTCTCCTTACTTTTAA